CGGTTTAGTACCCCTGTGGACGTAGTTTACCTCTGCATCAATTTGCTCGGATGTACTAGTCTCGGGGTTTGGGCCACTTGCTCGTATGACGGTCTGTTGTTTTTTCAATGATTCGGCTAACCTTATTTTCCTGATGATTTCTTCCAAAGAATCGTCCGGCTTGGCTTGTAATTGAACTGACAGTCGGTTATCAGCTAGTCCAGCAATTATGCGAAGCTTTATCATCTCAGCTTCCATTGTACCCCATTCACAGGTTTGTGCTAAATTGGTCAAATCTGTGATGAAAATATCACATGATTCTTTGTTATTCTGCGCGCGTTGTAAAAACCGTACACGTTCGTACACTAAGTTTTTCTTTAACACGAAATAATTGTCGAATTTGCTAAAGACAATTTCAAAATCTTTGAGTTCCTCGTTGCTCAAATGAAAAGATTTCAAAATGTTCTCAGCTTTACCACCCACATATCCCACAAGGTAGTCCACTTGCTGTTCACTACTATAGTTCGCCAATGCAATACGTTTGAATCGTAAAATTCGCGTTTTCCATTCGCTCCAATCTTCAGCTTGAAACGTAAATTCAGATGGCGGCGGTACCGGCACCGATAATGACGAATGTTGCGATATATTGGCGGTCGCGTCACTCGCGTTATTGTTCCGTAATTGCAATTGCAATAATTGCGTGATTAGTCTTTGCTGCTCAAGCAATTGAGTTTTGTAATCCAATTCAGGGCCCTCATCCATTATAAAGTTAGGGGGGTTTTCCCTTTTTTTTTTTTTTTTGAACGGTTGACACTTACTCAATTTGACAACTACAACGGTCGGTATATATCGCCCTCTTAATTATCTATGATATCGCCGAACCGCGAGATTATGCACTTCACAGCACTAAAATCTAAATCACTTCTTCTTCTCTACACGAATCGCTAACAGGGCGGCAATTTCAGTTTAATTTTATCGCTGTCACCATGTTATATACTGATTAATTTGCACCTACCTCTTGTCGCGTACATCCACGTGACTTCCGTCGTCGTGACTGTCTTTCCGGTTCCGGTGTACGAGACCCGTGCAACGTTGTCACGTTTACCTTATATTACACTATAACAACTGTTCGAAGTGCTTGCCACCATTATTAAGACAGGGATCCACTTTTTTCTTCATGTTTTCGAAGACGGCATGTAAGTGCTGTTGCGTAATGTTTCAAACGGTAGCTTCTATACCTGCTAGTAATTCGGCAATGGTGTGTAAACGGTTTCGAATACGTTGCCATCTCGTAAATTTGCATGCAATAATTTACGGTTACTTTAAAGGATAGAAGTGCAATTTTCTCCAGGCAATAGCGTCACACGTTCCGTATGAGATGCCCGTTAGTGGGACACATTGTCGCAGCTGCTTTTTCCGACTTTGCTCAAGACGAGCAGAGCATCTTTTATAACCTCCTTATTAGCAATCACTAAGCGGCCAGGTGACTTCCCAGAAGCAAGACTTCCTGTATGTTAAACCGCTCAAGTAAACGATGAGCATTTCGGCGTATATTGTTGATCCTCGTCATGGTTGACAATCGTTTATCGAAACTCCTGTATACACAAACGTATCGAGTACTCCCAAACTCCACTTTCGTCTTTAGTCCCATTACGGAAACAGGACAGCAAACGCACCTTATTCTCTTCTAAAGTAAAAGGCTTGTCGGAGTAAACCTATTGCCTATTACACGCTACAACTAAAAAAACGTTTGTTTGTAATTTACAAGTAATTTACCCACCTTGTAATATTCGAAAGAAACTGGTAGTCTTGAAAAAAGCCGTTTTGAAAGGGACGAAAGTATTCTAATAAGAATCAAACAAATCATAGTTTTGGTTTGTGAAATTATAGCACAGCTTACAAGTAAGCTGTGATTATAGGTTATGTTTTGTATTGGTACACATATACCTGGTTGCGGCAAATGATTACTAATGTGATATTTTATAAGAGCGGCGCAGCATATGATTATTGATCTCCCTGTATTAGTTTTGCTTTCGTTCAATTTTAATCTATTAGAGAGACCATTCAGTCACATGTTTAATATTGTTCTGTACTTCACAAATAGCAATATTTATATCTCGATCAACTGCAACCAGTGTAGCATCATCGGCGTAAAGAATGCAGTTAATTTTAGAAGATAATGCCAATGGAAGGTTATTAATATAGATTAAGAACAAGATAGGGCCTAGGATAGATCCTTGAGGGACGCCATGTTGCATGGGTAGCTTGTCAGATAAAGTACTGTTAAATATAACGTGCTGATGTCTTCCCTTAAAAAATGACGAGATTAGCCCTACACTTCGATCTTCAAAATTATAAGCTGTTTTTAACTTACGTGATAAAATTTGGTGTGATACACAATCAAATGTCTTTGAAAGGTCAACAAAACCCGCAACTAAATGACGACGTCCCTCGAAACATTCCAAAGCGCCGTTCACAAAACTAATAATTGCATCTGCACTCTGCAGTACATCTGCCTTTACGGAAACCATACTGCTGNTGTACGTTAAAATTGTTTTGGTTAGCCACGAATTAATCGCAAGTGACACTTTCCTAAAAATGGTTCCGGGCCTGGCAACTGTTTCGTCGGTAACAAATAAAGATGGGTTTGTAGCTATCCGTTTCATTTATTTACAACGGAAGACCATGACCATACGTATTATGATCGCACACCCATATAGGATGAGGATCCTTTGACAAAGTAATTATAAACTAACAACGAGACGACCGTTACTCGTTAGATAAATGCAAGAAACGAACTCTCAAAAACACAAAAGACAAGCATGAACGCAAGATATGGAAAAATTAAATAGCGCCTGTATACGCTAATAACGCCATGCGCTATTAAGTTAACGTCATGCGGTAAATGTGGCTGTTTTAAGAGATATGGAAACTACATACTGGCGTGACGTTATTTAAAACATTCATAACCTATCTTTTATAATTGTCAGAGTTTATTATTGGTTAGCTATTTCATTTTCGATATTGTTGATTATTTACTTATAACGACCACTACCACTAGGACTGCTCATGGCTTATGAAGAATGAAATATATATTTTTTTTAAAACACTAGTTTCTCTTAACCTCAAAAATTCTAAACATCTATCTCTGCGCAGAACCTAACGATGCGGTATTTGAAATAGCGCACAGCGTTATCCCTCCGTAAATAACGTCAAGCGCTAACGGTAATAACGTTAGTTACTATAAAAATCAAATCGCGCATACCTTTAATGTCAAAATAGCGCTACCCGTAGGCGCTTTCTTTCGGTGATCCAAACGCGTTTGGATTGTCAAATCACGTTTTTTCGAAGTGTGATCTTATAATCATGATTGCTAAAATCGTGAACAAACTGAACATAAACGTTTTATGATCATGAATTCCTAACCTACAAATGCAAGCATATTGTTGCTCAAATGTTAGGTTAGTCAATATTTGTAATTGAAGAGGAGCATAATCGTGCAAGTACTTCCACTTGTATTTAAATTATTTTTATAATCCAAACAAAAAATACGTAATTCGAATGCAAATGTATACTACGTAAACTTAACCATACTTTGATTTAAATTTACGCGTTCTTTCGTAAAACGTGATTCTACGAATCACGATTTTGAAATCATGATCGCGAAATAGCCGAAAGAACGCGCCTCGTTAATACCGCTAGATGTGGGCGAAGGACCCATATCTCTCTAGTAGTAGTGTCACTCATCGAATAATAGGGAAAGAGGAAAGCTGCTCATGCTGTGTCTAACATATCTACAATGCCGAACCACAGAATACAACACGTGATCATACATCGTTGCCACACGCAGTGCGACTCGAGTAGCGGAGGCATGTTCAGAGGAAGAGTTGGTACAACGTAAACTCCAACATTACTACTTACCATAGTTAGGTAAACAACATAAAAAAATACACAAACACAGTAACAAAGTTGGAGTTGCCGTATGAAAAGTTCAACTTGAACCAACTTTTCCGGTGCAAACGGACGACGTACGATTTAAAAATTTACTGTCTCCTGATTGGTTAAAGGGACGGCGGAAACGTACAAACGCACACGGTCCGGACCGTGACAAAGGGATAGCTATAAACCCACCTTAACGCAAGGTTAATAGAGAGAATAGGTTGCCTCGTAACTTTCAGCCAATAAACGTTCACTATTAAAATACGCGGATGACGTCACCCGGAATCCCACTTTGTCCACATCATAAAAATTAATTATTAACGAAATTACACATTCTGACTTATTTGAAGTGCGCACTAGTTCTTCTACTAACATTTTTTCTTTCTATAGCTGTTCTCTGGGACTCTATTTCTTCAGCTTCAGCGTCGTGTAAAGATTTTATAAACAAAGATGGGATAGCTGTTAATAAAAGAAAACAATATAATCCTTATCAATCTTAAAAACTGCACCTACGTATAAGGTATTCTATACGAACCATTTCTTTTTAATTTTTTTGCGACAATTCCCATTAGCCTAGCTTGCATTTCATCTGCATAATCTTCGGCCCGGAAATGCAGACTGCATACGCTATTGCACAAGGGGTTCAGTTTCCCCTTTCGATTGCACTTTATAGTCCATTCTTTTTGCAATGCAGTATCTTTTGGAAATTTGAAAAACTGAATTTTTAAGCCATTTGCTTTTGATTTGTTAGAGCTGCTATTGCATATAGCAACGCTACAAATATTTCCACCCGGCATCAAATAACTTTAATCAATACTGAAGTATCTAACAGTAATTCAATCGAATTACGCATATACGTAATTCAGGGATATCTGACAATTACTTACGCATTTCAAATAACTGTCAAAGTGAACGAAAACTCAAACACCAATCAAATAGGATTTCCGGATTCTCGATGACGCGTTTCCTTAAAGTTACGAGGCAACCTATTCTCTCTATTAACGTTGACCTTAACGTCCTTAACAGTGACAAATAACAAATGACTGATCAATCGCCGCGATAAAATCACAGGTCGTGAAATCACAACCCATCTCTATAGTGGCAGAGAGTTGCGCGCACAGACCATCAGTTGCACGTTTATAATCCGATTTTATTTTTATTAATCGGTAAGTTTTTTGAGTAAAAAACGCGAAATTGTTATATTTCCTTGTATTATGTGACCGATTGTGCACTATATTTTTGCTGTCTCAAATTATTTTCCGTGAGTAACTGTTGTTTCTTTTTTAAGGTTAGAAGATGGGACGTTACGCTAAAGAACCAGAAGTGGCTCCAAAAACATGCAAGGCGAGAGGATCAAACCTTCGTGTACACTTTAAGGTAGGTTAATTAGACTACTGTTTGATCGAGATATTGTAAAATATGCTTGGTTTAAAAAGCAATGAGGATACGTGACGCTAATAAGCCCCCCAGGTACGATCATGACATTGATAGTAATGGATAGAGGGCACCTTAATGTTAACTTCTTCGTCTACTAAAATTCTGGGTTTAACGTCTATATCAACAGATATGTAATAAAAGTAGTATAACAGGTATAATTTTAGGTTTTGTTCGACCAATAAGAGACACTTCCATGTCACTTGTGGATACACTTTAATAACACCACTTTTTAAAGCGTATACAGCCTAACCCCTTGAATGCATTAGGGAAGAAGGATACATATTGCATGTGGCACAGATCGACATCTCTGTATCGATCACCGAGAGGGGAAACCCGGGCACTTCCCTGCATGTTTCATATACCAATTTGTTCGTATTGACTGCCGATTCATTTTAAACGCCCTTTCCATATGAATCGCTGCTTAGCAATATCTCTTGTAGAAAATTACTTACACGCTATTCTGGTATAATTAAAAACTAGTATATCAGTTTCACATTTATTAAATCGTAGAAAAATAACATAACCTCTTAAGAAATTAAAGTTGGCACACCACTACCAACTGAAAATGAAATTTGGAGTAATATAACCTCACTTTTGACGAAATGAATTGAACTTTTAATTAAGATTGTGGAAAATTTAGGGCTTCTTCCGCAGTTTTTTTTTTATTGAACACGCTTCGTTAAGTTGCCCTCTATCCATTTTTTTTTAATTTTATGATCGTACCTGGGGGGCTTATAAATGTTTGTTGTCATTTTGTGTTTTTTTTGTAGTTCAGGTAGTAATCTTTGCATTTCTTTATATCGTATTTGTGTTTTGTATGCCACATTTTATATCTTTGATTTTGAAATTTACTTGATTTAACCGCAATGCAGAATGACATGTTTAATATCGTTATGCTATTGTTTGTTATTGTTTACGTTTTTGGTGTGATACTTGCTTAATTAATGTATTGATGTTGATTACTTGGTCTTGTTGGTGAAGTAACATTGACATAAGTCTTAATCAGTTGATTTTAATATGTGGAAATTACCGATTCGTTTGATCATACTGACTTGTTGTGTGTAACTAACAATTTTCTCCGTGTATGAAGCAGTCACGGGGGTGGTAACCATTTGAAGTACGACACCTAATTCGTGATTGTCTTCGACATTCAACTGTAAGCTCGAAACCCCGAAACCAGGGGCGGGTTACCTATCCTGCAGGAGCGGGATTACGCTAATCAAAGTTCTTCAGTTTAGAATCTATGTGCGATAAATGAGTGGCGATTCAATAATTTCCACATATCTTGTTTTTAGTTAAATTTGCCTACAAGGCCATGTAATTTTCCATCTTGCTTTTAACAAAAGACTTTATTGCACCAAAGTTGAGTCACATCCTGTGTATTTCACCCTTTCTTAGAATATTGGTACCTGCTTACCCGACCCGTAATTCCCAAAACTTGTTTTTAACCTATATGTTATCTCTTGAAGTTGACCTGCTACTTTTTGTGATGTTAAAAAAATAATTTTATGTTACGCATTCACATCATTACAAACAATTAATTTTACAACACAATTGGATATTACTTTGACGGCTGATTGTTTTTATTGGTAAGTTTTTTTTTTCCCCAGCCGATTTCTATTTTTATTCGGTGAACTACCATTTTCAAAGTTTATTTTTACAATGTAATTTATTTCGACTTAAATTTCCGAGCTTTCACAATCTTAATAATTGCGATCATTATTAAACAAACTTTTCACAATTTCAGTGTTTTGTTTTACGTTTCTTCCCTACTGTGCTTCAGGTCAAAGCGTTGTCTACAAGTAACGTAAGAGGCCCTGCCTTAGATGTTTGATCACGTGCCACTGTTCAAATTTAAGCGGGATCTTGTTTAGTTTTGGAGGGAATAGTCATTCGGGTGGCCATTTTTAAACGTTGCCGGGTTGACTTTATTTCTGTGTTCTTGTAGTGTGAAGTTAGCGTAGAACATGGGGGTTAAGTGCACTACAATCGGTAGTTGCGTTTTTTTCACCTCCATTCTAGGGAAGGATTTTTTGAGAGATTTTTACAAAAATACTCAAAGACCTTTTAGGCCGTTAATGTCCCCTTTAAAAATGTGTTACGGTGGTTTTTTTGCACCCCCATTTAGGGGTAGGAATTTCGTGGAAATGGTTACAAAAATACTCCAGATACCAAAGTTTGTGGAGCCAGAATTTTCTTGCACCCCCTTTCAGAGGTAGGAATTTTTGGGAGATTTTTACAAAATTCTCAAAGACCTTTTATAAAGGCTGTGAATGTCCTCTTTTCGTGTATTATGGTGGTGAGAAAAAATTTTAAGGTCTTGGCCTACTAACGTGCTCCTAAGTGTGTCGGTCTGTCTCTCTGTGTAGGTACATGATACCTCGCGAACGGTTTCAAATTTTCCAATTCTGTTTTCACTATTGGTCAATAACCAATTAAATTTTGGCCATTTGGACTTTCTGTTCGTCCGTCTGTAAACATGGTAACCGTAGAAGGCCATGTAATATCTTATTTCGTAGATATTTTTAAAATGTGGCAAAGCTCCGACTAAAAAAACTTCGGTGTTTCAGAATACCTGTGAAACTGCAAACGCGATTCGCAAGATGCCGTTGAAGCGCGCGCTTACCTACTTGAAAAACGTTACCGGCCGCAAGGAGTGCGTTCCGTTCAGACGATTCGATGGAGGAGTCGGACGCTGCGCGCAAGCGAAACAGTGGGGCACCACGCAAGGGCGCTGGCCAAAGAAATCGGCGGAGTTCGTATTGCAGATGCTCAAAAATGCCGAAAGCAACGCGGATTACAGCGGTCTCGACGTCGACAGATTAGTTATCGAGCATATTCAAGTAAATCGCGCCGCCTTTTTAAGAAGACGCACGTATCGCGCGCACGGCACAATCAACCCCTACATGTCCTCACCTTGTCACATTGAAATGTGGCTAACGGAAGCTGAAAGCTCTCCCGAAGCAGGCAAAGGCCAAAAGAAGAAGGGCGCCAAAGAAGGTGCGGATAAATCGGCCAAGCGAATGAAAGTAACAGGAGCAGTTGCACATTAAATATATTTTTTTTTGTCAATTGTTTATTTAAAAAAAGTTTTACTGGAGATATTCAATTATTAGTTATTTAATAAGTACTCATACTAGCGTGTTTATTTATCCCCACAAGGCGACTACACTTTGTGTGTTAGCATATGTTTTCTTAAACTGGATTTGGTATTGGTTGCGTAATTACACTGGACACATTTTAATTCCTTAACCGTCTTGTGTATTAACATATGTTTTGTTAAGTTCCATTTGTCATTGGTTGCGTAGTCACACTGGACACATTGAAAATCCTTAGAGACTTTGTGCTTCATAAGATGTCTTTTTAAATGAGCCTTGTAATTGGTTGCGTAATCACACTGGACACATTTCAAACGTTTGGAAGTCTTGTGCGTTAACAAATGATGTCTCAAATTGCGTTGACAGGTGGTCGCGTAATCACAATGGTGACATTTAAAATCCTTAGCTGTTTTGTGCGACAAGAGATGTGATTTCAAATAGGAATTATGATTGGTTGTGTAATGACACTGAGCACATTTAAGCTCCTTGACTTCGTTGTGCGAAGACAAATGAATTCGGAAATTGTATTTGTGATTAGTCGCATAGTCACACTGAGCACATTTGAATTTTTTCACTATCCTGTGTCTTATTAACACATGATTTCTTAAATTGGGTTTGCTATTGGTTGCGAAATCGCACTGGTCACAGATAAAATCTTTTGATATCTGTAGTCGCTTAGAACATGCCCAATCTTTATCACATGTTGCATTATAATATTCCACATTCTCCTGCTTTATCATTTTGCCGGCATCATTACTCAATAGAACCTTCTCATCCAAGAATGCGTTTATCTCTTCTTCTTGTTTAATTTCAATTTTTAATTCAGTCATCATATAACTTAAAAGACGTATTTTGTAATTGCACACAGGAAAATTACCTACTTACCTCAAAGACATAAGTCAGAAAACCACAACCTCATTTTTGTTTTATGAACCAATCAGATTGCAATGTCATTTTGATAGTGGCAAAGTTGGAGATCGGGATCCATGTTGGTAAGTCGGGATTGTAACGTTGCCATTTTGCTTAAAAAATTTGTCAAGTAACTTCACATTGGGGAGGTTTAACATTAACAAAAAAAATTAGTACCCACAAGAGGCCTGTTACTTTGGGCAAAAATGTTTACGTTATCTCCTCACACACACACTCGCAGAATACTTAAATCCATGGAAAAATATTACATATTACAAAAATGTCATAGACATGGCTGACTTCTTGTTGTAACAATAAAACAAGAAAAATAGTGTTGTCACTTTTTCTATAACTCTCGCCAGGAAAGATTGCCGGTCACAGCACACCTTGTGTCGATCTACAATCTATGTTTTTCTTAAGATGCGAGCGACTTCCGGAATAGGATCGTGCCAATGTTGAACGTTAAGTCTTTTTGTTCAACATTGACACGACACTATCCCAGAAGTCGCTCACATCTTTAGAAAAACATAGATTGTAGACCAGGATCAAGTGTTCTGTCACCGGCAATCTTTCCTGGCGAGAGGTTTATAAATTCTATAAAACGCTGCTGCCAAAACCTTCTCACATTTATTGTAAACTTTATATTTTTTTAAAGAATCAGCGCTTTGAAAACCATGAACTTGGACCAGACCGAAAAGCGTACCGATACCGTTTGCATTTTTACAACCGAAACCGTAATTCTTTCCCTTCAAAACAATTACTGAGATCCGGAACCCATTACCTCATAATTTTTTTTTCGTGAAGGAAGTACTGAATACTTTCTGTTTTTTCGCTGCATTTGTTGCTTTTTCCCTCTCGTTCTCGTACCGACTACCGGACGGTGCGTAAGCAATACGAGAAGAGACCCCCTTAAATTAACTGTTCTTCGGTTTAGAATGTGGAGTCTGAGATAATCGACTTTAACACGAATACTACTTGCGTTTTCACCTGCAGTTTTTCGTGTTACATTAATGGTAGCCGATGCTGGAGTAGAGCCATGCCATTTTGTTTTTATGATGTATTTTGAGTTTCGATTTTGTTGTTCTTTTTAACTGTATTTGACTCAATACCTGAATTTTATTGTACCGGGTGACCTAATAAGACAGTCCCTCGACCAAATCTCGGGGACAGTTCATCGTATGACTTAGGGGTAAAAAAATTATTGGGTAAATCGGTTATGAAGAATCGTTGGAAAAAATGTTCAAGTTCTAAAAATGACCACCAGAGGGCGTAACTGCCATCTTAAATTTTAAAATTGCATTTTTTTAATTTCTCATAATAAACTTAAACATTCTTTTTTCACATTTTTAAAGAGAACCAGTTTATCTATCATTTTCGTAAAAACAAAAACTCGTTCAATTGTTTATGCAATAACCTGCCTTAACTTCTTAACCGTTTGACCGATTGTAACAAATTTGGTATCGTTGAAAAGAGCATTCCTTGGGCAACAAGAATCGACCGAAATACAGTTAATTTTTGACACTATGGCCCAAAATCCTAAAAAAATCAAATGGAATGATATGAATATTTCTTTATGAAAAAGTAGCCAAATAACACCCAAAGAGGCCAGTGAAAACCGTTTTTCAAAACCTCGTTCCTAACCTCAAATATTGGGCAAATGAGATTAATTAATAAAAAAGCTTAAATTGTATCTTAAATTTACTTTTTATGTATTTCCGGCACCCTACACTTTTAGGTAGGCTTTGGAAAATAAAACAAATGAAACACGATGCATTATAAAATAATAACAGCCGTAATTTGTAAATTATTCTGCTGTTTAATTCAGAAAGTGCAGTTTTTTTGAATTTGTAATATTTTCTAAAATGCCGATTTAACCAAGAAGCATTTAGTATGCTGGCGATATATTTTGAGTATTTTCAAAATGCGACCATCGCTGACCACATCTTCTATGTATTTGCGTTATCCGAATTGACCACGAACCATCGACGGTGGCTCATGTCCCCAGAATCTCCAATTTCTTAACTGGTTGCATCCAACAACTAAATATACCGGGTACTTGAAGGGATATGGACATCTCAAAACCACCGTCACAGACTGCCCTTTGATCCGATCGATGTCGCTCTCCACTAAACCCAACTATCACCTAATTAAGGTCAAAATCAAGAAATAGAGCCTAAAAATTCTCAAGAAGTACTGCCATATTAACCATCGATCTGAAAAATACACTTTAGGCAATTGTGCGACTACGGAGGCTATACCACTTGTCACTCATATAATTAAATAGTTCCAGCTAACATCTTATTTTTCTAAAATTACATATAGAATACAAAACAAATGAAACAAAACAAAATTAGAAGATATACAATTTTTTAACTAAAAGACAAAAATAAGGTACTTTCTTGATACACTATGCCTTAAAAGACGTCATTTCACACTGTCTCTATGATTTGTGGATAATAATGAATGGCGTTGTAAAGCGGCCTTAGTTTTTGCCAAATAACCACAAATTTCACATTTGAAGTCTTTGGAAGCTTTGTGTACCAACACATGTCGATTAAAATTGCACTTAAAATTTGTTGCATAATCACAATGGTCACATTTAAAATGTTTCGCATCATTATGTATTAAGGCATGTTGTTGCAAATAGCGCTTACGACTTGCGGAATAATTACAATAGTCACATTTAAAACCTTTGGTTTCATCGTGCGATAAAACATGATTTTTCAGGTCGCCTTTAAACTTTGTAACATAATCACACTTAGAACATTTGAAATCTTCTCTGACATGTGATAAGAGATGACGTTTAAGATACTTTTTAGTATGTGTCGCATAATCACAAATGTCACATTTAAAATCTTTCGAACCATTGTGTATTAAGACATGTTGTTGCAAATAGTCCTTACGACTTGTGGCATAATCACAAACGTCACATATAAATTGTTTAGGGATGTTGTGTTTCAAGAGATGTCGAATCAAATAGCGCTTATAGTTTGTGCTATAATTACAATTGTTGCATTTAAAATCTATGGAAGCCTTGTGTACCAAGAGATGTCGATTAAAATTACACTTAATGTTTGTTGCATAATCACAATTGTCACATTTAAAATTTTTAGTTTCATTGTGTAACAAAACGTGATTTCTCAACACACCTCTAAACTTTGTAACAAAATCGCACTTAAAACATTTGAAATCCTCTATAACATGTGACAAAAGATGACGGTTAAGATATTTTTTAGTGTGTGTTGCATAATCGCAATTGTCACATTTAAAATCTTTAGTTTCATTGTGTGATAAAACATGATTTCTCAAAGCATCTCTAAATTTTGTAACAAAATCGCACTTAGAACATTTGAAATCTTCTAAGACATGTGTTGCGTAATCACAAATTTCAAATTTAAAATCTTTCGAAGTATTGTGTGGCTCTTTAATATTTGAAGCATAATCACACTTTTCACCTTTAAAATCTTTGTGATTTAACGAATGATCGTTGTACACATAGCCACGATTTTCTGCACAAGTCACAATCTCACTGTCTTCTTTTTTAACAATTGTCAAAACATCGTTTGTTACAACAAATTTTTCTTCAAGAGCAAAATTTATTTCTTCTTCTTGTTTTGGTTCGGTTTTAACAAGCGCATTGTCCTTATCCATGACTGCAACTATTCCTACACATGGGAAAATAAACCATTAATGGTTTACTATGGAATTCTATACAAAGCTCTTAGATGTCACCCACGAATTTTCGTTTATGGTGTCTCTCCAGCCAGCTACCATTTCCAACGACAAGATTAGGAATTTCAATACACTAGACAAGGGTGTTGAAGGGGCCCCCGGCTTTCGGCTTCTCTGTGGAGGTGAGCTAAGATATACAAGTTTTCTCTTAACATACACCACCAAAAATTAAAACAGAGCAACATAACACAACTTAAAAATCCAAAACTGCTAGCTCCTCACTTAAACGCTCAAAACTCTTATTAAAACACACCATGAAATTATAAAAATGGCATAGACATCATATTATCATCAATCTGAAGTTGTCTACATACAAAACAGAGTTGTCACTTTTCTATAAATGTATACAAACGAGCTGTCGTCAACAAGTTGGCCATTTCTTAAATATGATCTCTGCCTTGGATCAGACCAATTAATAAAGAATACCAGGAAGGAGCATTACTCAGGTTGTATACAAGAGAGAGTGGGACGGAAGTCGGCCATTTGCAAAAGCCACTATGACTCATTTTTGTTGGTTTTTGCAGTGACATAAAATAATGGTTAGTAGGTAGGTCAACTTCAAGAGGTAACATTTAGGTAAAAAACAAGTTTTCGGAATTATGGGTCAGGTAAGCAGGAACCTAGATTCTAAGAAAGGGTGAAATACACAAGATGTGACTCATCTTTGGTACAATAAAGTCCTTTTGTTAAAAGCAAGATGGAAAATTACATCGCCTTGTAAGCAAATTTAACTAAAAACAAGATATGTGGAAATTATTGAATCGCCACTCATTTATCGCATATAGATTCTAAACTGAAGAGCTTTGATTAGCGTAATCCCGCTCCTACAGGATGGGTAGCCCGCCCCATGGAACTGTTTACACGAGAATACTTTTTCATTAGCACTGAAAACACACGTAACTCACTGCCAAAGAATGCCCAATCTGTAAAGTGTATTTGACATGAATTCTGGCGACAGACTGTACCTCGGATACGCATTCTAATAATCAATAATTGAGTAGGTACTTAATAAATGTAAAATCATTTTACTGCTAATTTCATTTTGTCTTCAAGGTTTAATAAGACACGTTCATTTATTTTATTTTGATGTAGGATATACCTGGATTAATATTATTGGTCTAATTTATATTAAAATTTGTTGACAAATTTCCTTGAATACAGGTACTAACATGTTATATCATATCTCTATCAAATGAGCCTATTGAAAACATGCACTGCCATGTAGAAAAATTCAATTGTTTTTCGATACTCATTTGTTTTCTGAAACAAAAACAACTGAATGCTGCCTTATTATGGGAAATAAAATGTTAAACAACTTTCATATAGCAAAATTTTGTATACATTCGGTATTTACCCAGATACATACTATATTCCATATACAATATGGGCACCCTGTATATACAATTCTACAAAT